CACCAAGTGACTTGAGAAGTTAGTGCTGCCCTGTCTGGTAACACAACTCTGCACCATGCAACACAAGCAGCACAACCAATTCATGGATCTCAGATAATTTTGCGACCATATCACACCTAAGATCTGGTCACCTGACTCCTCAGACTGCAACCTTATTATGTGTGGGACGCAGTTGAGCGAGAGACCAACAAAACTCCTTGTAACACCAAAAGGATTGTAGCAGCATTCACCAAGTTAAAAAAGGAGACCGTCCAGAAGAGATGCAGGAGACTCCGACGTCGTCTGGAGGCCGTGGTTGAAGCCAATGACGATTTTGTTGAATAAATTTACTGTATAGTTTTTGAAGATAATCTTGTGTAATTTTGGTAAATATATCTGTTAAAATGAGATGTCAGTATTATTTTAATTTTTTTTTTTTTTTTGTGCGTAATTTAGACGACAATTTATCCATCGCAACCTGTAGTTTATCGTTATACACAAAATCAATAAGGTACAGATATTTAACCACAATGACAGAAAATGTGACATATATATACAAAAATGCGTTGAAATAGCTTTACGGGAGACTGGAATCTCTCGTGAGAATCAAGAGTCTTGAACCGCTATGTAATATGTCATCGGATATGACAGTGACTGCTGGCTATTTCCTCACAGATGAAGCAAGAGCTATTGTTTCAATAGAATGATGCTGCGAATACCATAAACAGAACATGTTAGTAACGAGGAAGTTTTAAGTAAAATTAAAACAAAAATGAGCATTTATGCAGAGAATGAGAAATTCCTGGGACACAGGATAAGCAAAGACGGTCTGGAGAATCTGACATTCACTGGATATAATGAAAGAAGAGAAGGAATAATCTACTTAATGTATGTGTGAATAGATTAAAGAACAACAAGGGTGGTAGATGATCGAAAGGAGGAACAAAAAATTATAGGAACTTTTAGAGAACTTTAAATGCAGTGTCAATCATTATCCTCTGTCTTCTTAATTTTTGCCGGTTCCCGTGCGATCAACAGAGTTAAGCAACATTGAACCTGGTAAGTACGTAGAGGAGTGACTGTCTGGGAATATCACATTTTGTAAGCTTGAATGTGCGGATGGTGTATTGGATAATGGCTTGGAATTGTTAATCGAAAAGTCAAGTTTCAATTCCAGCCGGGTTCGTTATATTCACTTACGCGAAAATACCTTTGAGAAAAAAATAAATCCACTTCTTCTCCACCCACTTAATTAGTAAAACTTCTATCACTAAATCATTATTAAATCCCCGCCCCGAATTTTTACGTTCTAAAAATATTTTCATTAAATAACCTGCAAACTGTTGTTAAACCGTAAAAGACGAAACAATCTTCTTAATCTCTCTCCTTAATAATGTTTTCTTTTTCTTCTATTCTGTCAAATCCAGCAACCACTTCCGTCTTAGTGACTTTATTATCTTACTTTGAATGAAATGAATAAAAAAAGAACGATAATCACCTAAATTCTGAAAGGACTTGTCTCATAAAAAAAAATGTATTTTATTAAAAGGCTATAAAATCTGAAATCTACATTGCGATCAAACGGCTCCTATGCCAATAAGGAATAAACTGAAAACACCAAAATAGAAAGAGATTTACGTACGTACATAGATATGTAATTCTAAAAGAATTAGAGGACGTAACAGAATTTATTACCGACAGATGTAACCTTAGTAACAAACGTTAATCAGATATAGCGCTGTTGATAGCAGCTTCATGGGAAATCTGAAAGAATTACTAATCAAGATAGTCAAGGGAAGCAACAAGAAACGATTTCGCATTAATTGTAATTGGATGGAATGAATGGTAGCAAGCAAAAAGGACACTTCGATATTAGGGTTACACATTAGAGACGCCAAAACTACAGAAATTCAATTATTGAGAAAGACTACGGAAATTCGAAGTAGCATCGGTATAAGAAAATATTTCAGAAATTGTATACGGTACTGACTGGTCGAAAAATAACATTAGAAACCTATAAAAATATGCTAGATTTTTATATAACAGTGAAAAGTTTGAATGTATTTTTATTGACGAATGTCAAGAAAACTATGGACAGAACATGCGACAATGTTTGAAGAGAACAGTAAATACAAGAATCTATTGCTAACAATCAGAAAAGAGCAACTGGAATTTCTGGAATGTATTAGAAGGAAAGACAGATTGGCGAATTTAACACCTACAAGGCATATCAAATGCAAGAGAAGTAGAAGAAAACAATGATTAACATAATTAGCAAGTTTGAGTAAATGGATGGAAGAATAAGTGCCACAAAGTGAAAGATGAATTTTAAAGGAGAAATTATTAGTAAAAATAATAAAAGATAAGAAAAAAATCAACTATGTTCTTATAGATAGATAGATAGATAGATAGATAGATAGATAGACAGAGAGAGTTTACTTTCTACCTATTTCCAAATTAAAAATACAATGTCATTTTGGTCTCACTGTTTAAAGAATAAATGAAAACTGATATACTATATAGTCCTATTAAGCAAAAAAAGTATAAACATTTTCATTTCTGTTCTGGCGATTTTCATTGATGTCAATCCTAGATCTCTTATTTTCCATTTCCTCCTGCATTATTTTAGCTGTTCCTTTGATATTTGTCAGGGTTTTGCAATGCACAGGTGCAGGTAACCCACCTTCAATTTTTATTTAAACTTTTTTCCAAAATAAAATGAAAATTGGCCTTCTCTCGTTCGTATTTCCAAAAGAAAAACAAGTAAACTTCATTTTCTGCTATTCCCAAAATCAATTTTACATCACCTGCTATCTTTTCAAAGGTTCATTAAATTTTTGAAAACTTCAGGATATGTTCCCGTCATTGGTTTTGAACTACATTCTATTGTTCTGAGTTACCGTTTGTCAGCAAAGGTATCTGTTGCAAACATTTGGCACAAGTGTTTAGGAATCATAATATATTCTGAAGAAGGTACATATGTCTTGATGAAAAATGTTTTACCATAATTGTTAGAAATATATTGATTTGATTGAAAATTCTAAAAGATTAGTATCTCATTGCTTTATATGTGAGTCACTGTTCACTGTGAAAGATGCAACTCAAAAGTTTTCCTGGTCTCACTGGATACAGTTATTGATTTACCTCATGATATAACAGGGCTGCAGATTGGTGACGTGTTTCCACGGACATTCAAACTTGTTTGTACATCTTCGTGCATTGAGTTAAGTTCAGTTTCCATTACGCGTTGCTTGATTCGCCTCATGGTATAATTGATGCAGGACTACCGTGCAGTGCTCGGCTTCTGTTTTCTGAGCATTGGTTTCAAAGAAATATCACTGCTCTACGGATAGGTTTGTGTCTTATTAATTGAGTTCATTTGTCGCTTTCCGATTACTCGAATACGCTCCTCTTTCTAATAAAATTCCTCACCTTCCAAAACTCTAATTCTTAAGTAAGCGCACTGCTCGCTTATTCGACGAATTACATTAGCAGCGCGGAAATTAGAATTGGTGAGCAAGTTCCATTTCCAGTTTAGCCTCCTGCGTTTACTTTCGCACAAGGTATAAATCTTCTCACCACAACTATAGATTAAATAGCAGGGTAGACTGGGCTTGGTCTAAAAGAAGGAAAACTCCGAATTCCAAGCTGTAGAGAAGGCAAGAGGAAAACAATTCATAAGAATTATTGATAATTCACAGATAATAAAAAAAAGAAATATATGGATATGATTGCTTACGTTCTGAAAGGACATAGAATCCAAAAAACAAGAATCAGTTTTAACTGATATCATTCAAAAGAGATCAAGTAACAAAAAGCCGACTCAATACATCAAATCTCTTGTGAAGTTTCTAGTTTGATTTTAGATTATTGAATTAAAAAATCAAATCTGTTTGCTTGACTCTTAGTAGATCAATTTTCTACTCAGCATAAATCTATCTATCTGACTATATATCTATCATATGAAAACCATCTAACTGTAAAAGACGTTTAAAGATAATGAAAGCACTTTTTCTAAAACACCACAGACCTAGACTTAACATTACATTCTTTGAAATGAGCTGAAGCGTATTGGGTGTGTTTTGAAGGCACACTGACATATAATTACTACTACTCCTATACAAAATAGAATACATACACAGAAATATACTAAAATACTTACCCCGTGAAAATAGCTAAAGAATTAGTCGAAAGAGCCTGGGGCAATATTCACTACAGACAGTATCTACATACTCACAGAAAATAAAATTATAATAGCTTCATCCACATGTAAAAAAGGCTAAAATAATGGAAGCATTAATAATAAAAAAAGAAAAAGCCAGCACTCAAAAAACATCAATTATGAACACTGTCAATAAATTGCGACCATGTTCATAATTGATGTTTTTGAGTTTTGGCTTTTTCTTTTTTATTATTAATATTTCCATTATTTTAGCCTTTTTATTTAAATAAAAGCATTTTTATAACTCTAGGTACATACAAAGAAATCAATACATTCAGTTCAAAATAAAAATAAAAAATCCTTTTTGATAATGCCTAAAAGAATAGCCGAAATCACTCAGATATACAGAACATTCGGGCAATTTTTTTCAATGTCCAGAAAAGAAAAAAATATACGAACACAAGAAAAATTAAATAAAAAAAATTAATCGCAATACCTTGTCAGTATATATATATATATATATATATATATATATATGTGTGTGTGTGTGTGTGTGTGTGTGTGTGTGTGTTAGAAAATATGTTTTAAAAAGTTACATATATTTCTAATGCCACTTATTGATAACTGCTACACAAAAGGATTTATTTCTTTTCAAACGAAAACAAACGGATAAAGCCCAATTGTAATGTATTAGGTTTAATCCTGTCTCGAGGTATTAAAATAGGTAATGAACCTTGAACGCCTTTTTTCTTCGTTTTTTTTTTTAATCTGATTTTAAATATAATCGGTCGATGACAACCAATCAGCGTTGGGACGCATAAGTTGCTAGGTGGGAACTCTGTCGAGGGTAACTAACCATATGAAGGGAGAATGTCGTTCACACTTACACATTCACTCACTCAAACTCTTTCTCTTTCAGTATCTTTCTGCTTGTCTGTCTCTTTCCCACGTAGATAGAATGAGAAGATAGAGAATCCAGTTTTTTTTATCGATGATGGAATTAAAACTTACCTTTTTTTAAAAATTCTAAAGATTTCCATTGTATCGGTAGAGACGCTTTCTAATAATTCTAAAACAATATATAGCTTATTAGCTTTATTTTGCTTAGGCTTTCTCTTTTTAAAAATGTATTTGATTTTTGTTTGAATTCAGTAAAACCATCGAATCAGTATCAATGAAAGAAAGCTATTGGCTCTGAAGTTATTTAAAAAATATCAGTTAAGCCGCTTTATTTATTTATTTGACAATTTATTTTCGGTGGAAGCAGGATTAACTTATAAAAATAATTACATAAAAATTATCGAATTTTGTGCCTACTTTTGTACTGTTTAATACTATTTAAAACTGTTAGCCTGTTAATTTATCTATCTATCTATCTATCTATCTATCTATCTATCTATCTATCTATCTATCAGTTGTTTTCGTATCTATTTGCACACTTGACCGATTTTTTTTTCTCTAATCCATATAATATTCGACGTATTTTTTACTTATGTGTATGTAAAAACACTTTTTTTTTATGCAGAAGCTTTTATAATATCAACGAAATTGTATCTCCGACTGCTTCTAATCGATTCGCCATTCCCATATGTGTATGACTGGAGCTTCTAACATATTGCAAGGATAGTTTATGTGCATATATTTTCACTCTCCCATTCAATTATTTTGTATTTTCATTGTTTCATTGCCATTTGACATTTGACATGTTCTTGTACTGGATTTTTACCAACCAATCAAACCATCGCAAACACGAGCCGCGAACCGTCGTGATTGAACCTTCAGTTGCAACAAAACACCCGGCTATTGCGAATTCGGAACCAGAAGTTTGAACTAACGCGGATCGTATTGTGAATTTGATTGTGGGCTTTCTCGGCTGACAAGCGCACTCACGGTACGATTTGCGATAGTCTGAACTACATGCTCTGTATTCGTTCACAACAGTCGCGTGTTTTGTTGCAACAGAAAGTTCGATGATAACGGTTCGTGTATCGAATTCACAATGGTCGGGTGTTTTGTGCTTCGACCGTGACGGTTCGAGGTTCGCGTTTCGAATTCGGATTATGTAAATAGTGTACATATTATCTCATCTCATATAGACAGTTTTCTGTTTTCGTTTGGTTACTTGCATCGTCGAGGATCATGGTATCAAAGGCTATCTGAACATTTGCCATGGAAATAGTGACAGAGGAGCAATATTTGGAGCGTGAAACATCTCCCATAAGTTTGCGTAAACACTTTTGGATCCTATCAAGGCTGGAAAACGAGGATTGGACAACCCCAGGTTAGATGCCGCAGCAATATTCCATTTTTGGTCTGATCTGGCTTTTGTAAAGATAGAGCATGGAAGGTAGAGTCAGTGAGTAAACGTAGAAAGCACATATTAAAATTTCTATTCGTTGATTTACATTCATTCACGGCTTTTCAGTTTCGTGAGGTGTTTGTTGATTCGAATAACCTAAAGGTAATTTCAAAATGAAGCCTTTATACGGCTGTCCATGTCTAAGGATATGTCGTATGACATTAATCAGTTGTTGTTCACCGTCTTTCACGGTCACTATGTTAGAAAATTCACGGACCAAAGATTTAATGCACTAGGCTAATGACTCATAGATAGGGAAATCTTGTGTGTAGAACTTGGATCCTGAAACCTACACTACGTATGCCAACATTGCCTGTCATGCCTGACAGCTTTTACCGTGGCTTCTGCTGCTGCTGCCGCTGAGCCTTGCTGTCATAACTCTTTTTTAACGGTTTCCATATTGTATTCATTTCTCAGATAGGCTTACAAAGAAGGTGTTCATAGCCTAAGATATTCACTGATTCTTACGGTGTTCTTCTCAGTCTGTTCTATTTGTTTACCTCCTTTGTACACGTGCTATAGTCTCCTTATTTTTTTGCTGGAAAAACTACACAGAAAAATAAAATAAAAAATTAAATAAAACATATCTGCAGTAGGATAATAGATCTAGAGATATTAATTAAATTTTGAAATTATCAGATAAAAAATATAGAATCAAGGATCTTTAAAATTTAACACTTGACTTGGCCAACATCTACTTTTAACGTTTAATTTAGCACCCCACCATTCAGATTTTTATTTATTTTTTGGCGCGTGCCTCTCCTTATACAACTTCACATAGAAAACACACTTATGAGTGCTTCTTTGTCCAATGGGAATTGTTTATTTTGTTTTGTTTTGATGTATTTTATTTATTTAACGTGTACAGCAACAAGATCTAAACATAACTAGAAGTTCTACCAGGATTTATTATTGATGAGTAGTGTCTTAACAACATAAGATAAATGAAACTCGTATATACGAAGCAGAAAATGAAGATGCTGGGAAAATGATCAGTTCTCTGTACTGCTCGAGTAAGTACCTGACCCCTCCTGCTATCCTCTACGTTTACAAGAGCCAGATGAAGGCGAAAATAGAGAACTGCTGCCATATATGAACAAGGGTTGCACAGTCTTAACTTTCCAGTCTCGATCCAAAAGCCTCTCCGTGCTTTGTGGCTGATGAACTATTTTCCACCCTACAACCCAGACGAAACGTTTCAAGATTCTCGCTAATCCATCACAATTTCTATGGAAAATGTGCGGACGAGTTACATTCCTTCGTTGCACCAGCTAAGACCCGCCATGCCACGTACATTCTAGCGAACCACTCTCATTCCTTTTGTATTCAATTGATGCAATGTAAGTTCCATTAGAACAGATTCTTCCCGTGAACCATTACTTTGTGGAACTGACTCCCAAGAGGATGCTTCCCCAGCTAATACAATCTGAAACTCTTCATGTCTAGGGTTATTCTGGAACCCTTTAACTCTGGTGGCTCTTGGGGCCTGTAAATCTAGGAAGTGGAAAATCTGTCGCATAAATCTGAAGGCGCGCAGGAATAGCAAAAGATGCCTTCCAAAATCTAAGCAAAGTGTTAAGAAACAGGAAAATTTAGTTTGGAAACAAAGATAAGAGTGCTTAAGTGTTATGTAATATCAATAATCCTATATGGCAAAGAATGTTGGACAATTTCATCACAGATGAAGAGGTGACTTAAGGTAAAAGAGGTGGGGTTTGTACAGAAGGATGATGAGAAAACCAAGAACAGAACATTTGAGAAACAAGGACGCTTTAAGGAAAATATGAACGAAAACGACACATGTTTAGGGTCAGAAAGAGTCACTTGAAATTTCTGGAATATATAATGAGGAAAGAGGTCTTGGAGAATTTAATGTTCACAGGACTTATTAAAGGGGAAGAGTTAAACAGCAAATAATACGCCTAATGATTCTGTGTGAATGGATAGCAGAACATGAACTGGAAGGAATAGTAAAGAGATTAACATTGCTTAGAGTTACACAGGAAAAGTTGTGGAGAACTACGTTCGCCCACATCCTAATGAGACATAGCGCATAAAAGAAGAAGAGACGATATTGTTTACTCAGGACAGGAAATTTACTTTGATTCAAACCCTGCGGGATTAGGAAGTAAACTGGCCAATGATCCGCAGACCAAAGTTGCTACATGTCGTTTAATCAAGCAAGATGAAAAAAATGGTTTGTTGGCATTACGTGAACAATAGATTAATTAATTCGTTTTTATGGCTTATCAACCCTTTACAGGTTATTTAAAACCAGAAAATATTTCTAGATTATAAGAATTTTTTGAGGGGTGGTGGTGGTGGATAATAATCCTTTATAGATACAAGCCCCACTATATAGCCAATAACTAGGAGGAGAGGGAATTAATTCATAACTTTCCCAAAGGTATTTGTGCATAAGTGAATATAACGAACCCTACTGGGACTGGAATTTGGTTCTTCGAATAATATCAGAGCCATTATCCATTACACCACCCGCACATCCAAGCTTACAACACCTGGTATTCCCAAGCTGTCACCCATCTAGGCAATGACCAGGCTCGACGTTGCTTAACTTGAGTGATCGTACGAGAATCAATGTTTCAACGTGATATGGTCGTAAGCCGTGGAACAAGATAGGCAAAGAAAATGATACATGTTTCTTTTCTCTTATTTTTCTTTGTCTGTTTTGTAGTTGTGATATTCTTTTGTTAAAAAGATTTTACAAGAGTACATTTCTTTCCGTTCATCTAACGTCTGTTTCAGTGATTCCTTTTTAATTTTTCTTCCTTTTTTCAGTTACACAAATTCTTCTTCTTTTTTTTTTTAATTTCTATAAAATTTAAGCAGGACATGACTTTTTTTAACTGTATCTCTCGGTTTTTCTTTCTTTCTTTCTTTCTTTCTTTCTTTCTTTCTTTCTTTCTTTCTTTCTTTCTTTCCATACGGCTTTTCATTCACTTTTCTTTTATAAATATTCTGTTTCTTTCTTTCTTGCATATTCTTTCTTACTTTCTTTTAATTTTTCTTTCAAAGATTTTCTTACCTTTATAAGAATTGCTGTTTTTTTTTATTTGTATATATTTCTTCCTTTTTTTATTTAGATTTTCATTCACTTTTTCTTTCCTTTTAGAAATATTACTCTTTTCTCCCTTCTGTTTTGTATATTCTTTCTTTCCTTCTTTTTTTTATTTCTTTCTTTATTTGTGATGGCGATGTTAATTTGCCTCAGGTTAAAGAATTCCCTTTTATGGTGAATGCAAAGGTCATCTTCTAATGCCCTTTCTAATATCAATACATTTGTAAACATGGAAAATAAACAGTTATTGCCATTGATGATAATTTTGAATATGCGATGAGCTAAGGTGAAGTGAAATATTATAAAATAAAATAATAAAATCTTCTAATTTAATTTAATCTGTTATTTTTGGCGTATTCAAAATATTTCTTTCTTTTTTGCTTAATTACTTTGTTATTCTTTTTTTTTTAATGAAAATTGGAAAATAAAAAATGTTAATAATTTGTGAAAATATTGAAATTTGAAATCTAACCTTATAAAATGGTGTTCACAAATTGACTTCTAATAGTGATGTTTTACAATTTAAACAAATACTTCTACTTGGATATTTATTTTGTTTGACTTAACATGACGCAATATTATTATCTCTTTATTTATATTTTTATAAGAATTTCTAAGAAATACTTGACTTTGGTGTTGATCAGTGGCAGACAGGGGTTAAAAATATTGGTTGCCAGGAGACAAAAAGGATCTACCCACATCTACAATGCTATCATTTAATTTTCATAACGAATACATAAAATTTAAAAAAAATACATATGAAAAAAAAATGTACAATTCAATTTTTGTGTGAAAATGTGTATTTCTTAATTACTTTGTACATGTACTGCACATATCATTAGAAGTAGATACCAAATACAGAATGTTACAATTGAATTATTTTTAAATTTTAAATAATTGGTTGAGATTTTTAAATAGTTTATTGCACAATTTACACATTAACAGATAGTTTAAAAGCAGAATAGAGTGGGTAACTACATTAAGAGCATTTGTGTTCACTAGATGATTGTTCGAATCTGCCTATAATTGCTTCTGCACCCAGTTCATTAAAAAATCCTTTTAAAAAGATAGCAACATGTATGATTCCACATTTTCCTCAGACAGTGAATTTCTTAACCTTGTCTTTATGATCTTTAGCTTTGAAAGAAATGTCCTCTCACATTGGACTTAAGAAAAATGATAGTGTTTAGATGACGTTATAAAGTTCTTATTTTTTTTTATTATTAAAAGAGTGAATCTATCTTTGTTTCTTTATTGCATATTTATTTGATATAGACGCCATCGGTCAAAATGACAACCTAGACAGTCTGTCTACAAACCGAAAGATTGAATCTTTCTATCGATGAACAGACGATCTCTTTCGGGCGGCGTTCAGGTTTGATGCCAAATAATAAGAAAAAAAACACCTTATCTACTCTGTGCCAAAATTGTGGTTTTATTGGATCCTCACACATTGTTTCTTCTCCATCAGTAATCAATTTGATCAATTTAGTAAGGTCTCGGGCCAATATAACAAATTACTTCCAGATAAAATTATTTGTATTTTATAAGGATAAAGCTAATACGCCCAATCTTTTGATCACGATGGTTTTCAGCAACTTCCACCGGGTATCACCTGCTGGGATCGTTATCATTGTTATCAAGAAGTCAATTGTTTGATAAGGAAAAAGGCGGACATGATTCTCCACTGTTTGCCTTTTGTCTTAATGATTGTTCATGGGAAAGGTAGGGGAGGTGTTTTCTGTTACCTTCGTAAAGATTTTTCAATTCAGAGTTATTCTTCTTTTAGTCTCGGTACTCTACCAATAGATTACCTAGTTCTACTGTTTTACACATAGATGGAAGGAAACGAGATGTATTCAGGCTTTATCAAGATAATTTATGTGAAATGAACGCAACATTCTCGGCCATTGCTTGAAATCGCCCTGGTGATTGTATTTTCATAGTTAATAACCATTGCAATATCCACGCATCTATTATACCAACTAAAAAGTGTCGTTAAAACTATTTTTGCCATTATCAACTCAAATGCAATGAATTCAATCGGTTCACGATTTTTTTTTCTTTTTTGATCAGCCAGTCTTCCAGTAGAATGCCACAGATACTAAAATTCATCCCTCACCTCCTGTTGAAACACCACTTCTCATATGATCACCGAAGTTAAGCACCATCGAGCCTGGCCAGTACCTAGATGGGTGACCGCTGGGGAATACCAGGTGCTGTAAGCTTGGATGTGCAGGCGTTGTAATGAATAACGGCTCAGAATTGAAAATTGGAGAACCAAGTTCCAGTTCTAGTCGGGTTTCTTATATTCACTCAGGAGCAAATAACTTTGGGTAAGGTATGAACCAACATATTCTCCCCAGTTATGGATTAATTAGTAGGCCTTGTATCAGTAAATCACTATTATCTGTATATAAAATTCTGTGACTTCCATTACTCCGTCGATTCGTCACAAACTCTAAAAAAGTCATACATTGACCGATCGAAACCAAAATGGGGAGAAGTGAAAACAGATAAGCGGGGTACAAACTACAGTGGGTTTTACTAGGTGGCTTAGTACAATAAATTTCCATTAGTTATTTTGGAAAAACTAAAAGTTTTATTATTTAACAAAAAATACTCCCACTATTTTAAAAACAATTCAATGATTAAAATTGCAAATACTTATTTAATAAAAATGCAATATTGTTTTATGCATATCTTTCCTTTAAGTTTTTTATATACAAGAATCTAGTTTCCAGCTCGCCCTGCGTTTGCGAGAACTATAAAAAAATTACAAGGCCAAGCGCTTCAAAAAGTTGGAATTTGACTCCAGAAAGAAATATTTACGCATGGCTAGTTGTATTTTGCATGCTCAAGAGTAAGAAATCCTAAGAATATATTCTTCAGTGTTAAGAAGGAAGATAAAAATTTTCTTAAAAATATTGTTTGCCATGAAATCCTATGAAATTGAATTAAATTAAACCTCAAGTAGGTGTTTTATCAAAGTATTTTCCAAACAAATCTGCGTATTCAAATTTAATCGATTGGTTTACGAAATTGAACAAAACGTAGAGTGCGTAAATCTTGAGAAAAAAATGTTTGCTATAACTTCACAATGTCAAATACTGTGAGAATTTCAACACGCGTCAGTATTTTGCAGAAAATTCTAATTTAAAAAAAATTCTTACAAACTAAAATATTTTTTGGCGTTAATTAACCTGCAAAAGGTTGATAAGCCTTAAAAAAACAAAACAATAAATCAATCAAATACTTGACAAAATTCAAACATTTACGTATAAACAGATTATTCATGATTGCTCCAATTGGGTTTCAAGTTTAATCATTCTCCTTCGGCGCGAAAATGTGATGAGATTCTCCCGGAGTCTGTCTATGGTCGTAAATTTGCGTCCTCAGATTCAAAAGGAGATTTCTCGAATCGAATAAACCAAAATTGACAGTTCAGAGTGTCATTTCCAATAAATATTCAATAAACTACCGCGCCATCTACACAAATCTGGCTTAACCTGCTTCAACTTCCCGCAGCTATTCGGATATCTTTATGGAAAATGAAACCCAGCAATGATTTTCAAGTGTCGTAAATAGACATTTCTACATTCAGAAAGATTAGCGCAGTTTAATAAATCAACGTGGCGATTAAGAGTGGGCGTTAATCTGAATACATAACTTATGGGATTTACGCCAGATATCGGTGAAGTGATTGTTGCTATGTTTGCACGCAGCGACTACAGTACTGGCAGGTAGAGTAAAAGGACGACAGATGAAGAGGTGATAGGTTCTTTTCTGCTTACCAGTGATAAGTAGGAGGCATTCTTTTCTAATACATTTTGCTTAGAGAAGGGAAGTTCTGAATTCAATCCACACCAAAGAGCCCTTGTGATCAGTTCAGCTCTGTGTTGGAGAGGAAGACGAGATGCCTGCAGGCATAGTTAACACTCTTAAGTACGTTACATTATTTCCAGAAGTTTTTTCTTCAAAAGACACATAGAGACTTCTATTATAACAATCTGCCCCGGTCTTGTACAATCTAAAACAGAAATTCTCTCTGTAATTTTTTGATCGTCAGAAATGAAGCATTGTCACCAACGCACATATTATTACTAATTCTTTTTCTCTTTTTATCGCTTTGCCTTGTGTTGAATTACTGACAGTTTGCGCCAATAGCAAATATCTTGGCTACGAGGCAGATCCGGTAGTTGCTGAGTCATTCTTCTTCTTCTTCTTCTTCTTCTTCTTCTTCTTCTTCTTCTTCTCGTTTGTAGCTCTTTCGGTTCATTTTACTGCTCCAGTAAGTACCTTGTATACATAGTGTCTCAGTTAAACTCTATTTTTACAAGAGCCAGATCAGATCAAAAATGTAGTAATGCTGCCCAATTTTGACTTGCCTGTCTTGAGTACAAAAGCGTCTACACGGACTTGTATTTCCCACCCTACAATCCCTTTCCCACAGTCGATACGTCACGATCCTATAGCATGTGTTCTGACAAAATACATTACTTAGTCACACCAGTCCTAATCTTTACAACTGGGACCTGCCATGCCACTTACACAAGAGTGAATCGTCTCCATTCCCTTCGTATTCCATTAGTAAAGAGTAAGTTTCACTCGAACAGCTTCTTCTCAAGAACTGTTTTGTGGAAAAGACTGGTTGTTTTCCTAATCATTACAATCTTGACTTCTTAAAATCTATCTATTATCTTTCCTGCATAACCTCATCAATTTCCCTTCTTGTCTTTTCTTACGCTCATACAACACCACACAGTAACATTCTAACTTGAGTGACTCTTTGGCCTATATTGGGTGAACATTAAAAAGATAATGTTTGCCTTTTTACTCTCCCTTCCACTGCCTTTTTTTCTTCCATTTACACAAGAAGGTTAATTAGGTTACTCTCTATTTTTTTCTGTCCCCCGCCTTACCATCAATAAATTCTGTCAGTGTCAAATTCTTAAAGATCTCTTTCCTTAGTATCTATCTCAGAATTTATCAGCTGTCTTTTACTGATTCTAAGAATAAGTGTCTGTTTTGTCTTCATATTCTTTTAAAAGGATTCCACGTTGCTCACATGGTATTCACTGAATTCTTCTGTAGAACCATTTCTTTCTTCCCTCACATTTCCTCTTCATCTGTAAGAAAAGTGCCCAGCATCCACTATCATATAGGAACATTGATATTTCATAGCATTCCAGTATTCGTTTGTTTGTTTGTAAGGAATTTCTCTTGCTTTTAATAGATTAATTATCCTTCAATAACCATCTTTCGCTATTCCAATGCACGTTCGCATATCTCTGTCAAATTTTTCGCCGTCGGTGTCAACATTTTTCAGATATTTAAATTATTGTACTTGTTCGAATTGATATCTCCATTTCATTGACCCTTTGGGTTGATCCTTTGTTGATAACCATGGCTTCTGTGTCTTTATAATTGATGGTTAGACGCTTTATTACCGCTTTCCATAACGTTATTTTTAGTGAATACTCTTATTTGTGTAGACGCCCAGTTTATTTATTTATCAAACAGTATATTTCTTTATATTCGTCTACCGGCCTGAATATTCGGAGCCTTATTTTTCACTGATAAAATTCGTCGAATATCCAGGCCGGTAGACAAAAATAAAGAAATATACTGTTTAATTAATAAATTGGGTATCTGCACACACACACACACACACACACACACACACACACACACACACACACACACACACACACATATATATATATATATATATATATTCTGGACTCTCCAGTTGTTTTTTCAGCGTATGAGGGTCAAGCAACTCAGTTCTTAGTAACCAACGACCAGACACCTGCACATATGATTAGATTATAGTGGTGAAGGCTTTGTGCAGATCCAACGACACTTTTTGAAAAGCCGAATACAGAGACCTGGTGCACTACGTGCCACAAAGTCTCCAAACAACCTTCTTCAGGTTTTGAATTCAGAGTTGTCCTTCTCCCAGTTGCCATCCAAGGCTATAGAACCCAACCTGTCCTGCTATTTCCCCATAGCGGGAAGAGAAGATGATTCATACCTTTCTTAAGGATATTAGCACGTAAGTGAATGTAATGGATTCAATTGGAATTCGAACTCGGCTCTCTGATTCGTAAATGATGCACTTTTATTTATTAATCTGACAGATTTTATTACTTAGACGTTATTTTAGGTGATATCCATATATGAATAGACGCCATATTTATTTGTTAAATTGTATATAATAAAATGTACTTATAAGATATACTATATTTATGGGTTAAAGTGCTCAATATCAGAGATAGAGCGTATCTAGATATAAAAATGAAAATTAAAGTCAACACCCAGAGGCGATATGCTAAGTGAAATCGTCAGGCCAGAAACACCTCTGGGTGTTGACTTCAATGTCAACTTTTATATATATATATATGATAATACAGATCGATAACGCCCCAGTATCATGTAAAATTTAAAAACATTTAAAGGCGAGTAGGTATTTGTAAATAAGTAATATTTATAATAAATAAGTACTCAATAAGCAAATTAGAATAACCCTTGTTAACTGAAGTTAAGTTCAAAGGACTTTCCTTTGCGAACGACAATGTTCCGGGTATAAACTGTTTGTCAGAGTTAATAATAAAAAAAATCTGGAATATTTAATGTTCTATGTCCTTAAGCATAGCACAAGAAGTTTGAAATTTGTTTGAAATCTGTGATGAAGCTTTTATTATATACATTATACATATGATATCAGGTAATAATTCAATAGATTTGTCGGGTTCTCTAACCCTGATGACCGATGTATACCTGAAACTTTGAAATCGATGAATACATATTGACTGATTTTTTTTATTTAACGAATACCCTGCATCGTCTATGTAAAGTTGAGGCTTTTCTTCGGCTAATTTTACACCTGTTACTTCCACCAACCGTGACTCCATAATGATAATACTGATTTAAACGACATTATTATTGAGTAAGAGATCAACACGTTAAGTGACGTTGAAGTGCAAATAAAGGGTGTTCCAATAACTTGGACTGATTTTAAATGTGCATTAACTTTAAGCGTCTAATAATTTTTTTTGATTTTTTTTAGATTTAACAACGTAAGTCTTTGGCAATTTCAACCATGGCAAGATTAACAATGAAACAATGTGTTAAAGTTTCAAGAGTGCAATTGGAAAAATTGTTCTTAAATTCAAACAAACTGGGTCGATGGCAGATGTGAAAATACCATTGTGTGCTCCTTTACACCGTTCAGCTAAAAACATTGTTGCGGTGAACGAGAATGTAGCCGAAAATCCAGACATTTCTATTCGTCATCGAGCGCAGGAATTAAACCTCTCCACAACAACATTACATCGTTTCAAATTTCACTCTCGGTTGGTCGATTATGTTGTCCAAATAAATCACAAAGTGCGTGAAATGCATTTCTGTTTGAACGTCCAATTTCATAATAGTCTTCAATAACTTTAACATATTGTTTGATTGTTAATCTTTCCATGTTTGAAATTGCCAAAGACTTAAGTTGTTAAATATGAAATAAAAACAAACAAAAAAAAAATCACTAGACGCTTAAACTTAATTCGCATTTAAAATCGGTCCAAGTTATTGGAACACCCTTTATATGGAGCCTATTATATCTTTTCTCGAAACGAAAGACTCCGCTAATAGTAAGTATTTTTAAACTTTGTTATCCACGTGCCCACTATTTGTTTTATTTGTGTTGATAGACTTGTGTCTATGTAAAACTCTTTTATAATGGTTTGTAAAAAAACGAATATGTTCAGAAGTTATAAGGCAATTTATGTTTAAAATCCATCAGGAAACAAAAAAGTGATCCTAACTACAAAAAAAAGTAAATAATGACTGGTCGTTCATATCCGAGTATGCTTGTCTACTAGGGCGACTAGCCAATCCCTGTTGCGGACGCCTGCTCAGGAACATATGTGTTTGTTCATCACTCACATACCCACACCAGACCTATGTTGAGCGGACCGTTGTTACAGTTTCTTGGATAGACTACATTATCTAGTGTGTTCAGCAGTCTGAACAAACCCCCCCAGTGCGATCAAAAACCTCAGTCACGATTTTGATTTGCGTCTTCCGATTAGAGCAGCCATCTCCTCCCCAGCGCAATAATGTAAAAATCTTCTTTACAAATTGATCATTGTGAGATTCGAACTTGGGTCGATGTCGAAAAAAGGAACGTCCTAACTCTCATGGTTGGAAAATGAACCCTACTTAAATATATCCATTTCACGAATTTAAGTGCAGTACTAAATTGGTAGTTAGGTCTCATCATTCTAAACTTGAAATTGCTAAGTGTAGCGTAAGTTCTATGCTAATGGTTACTTCTTTTGTACTTCTCGCTTGTGTAATTCTATTCTGGTTTGGTTCAGTAGGTTTATTTAGTTTTACGGCATATCAACCGCAATGGGTTGTTCAATTCCGACAAGATTTTTAGGATAGGTTCGTATTAACAGAATATGTATTTTTTGTAAGAAACCAGTTTGTAGATTAGGGTAAATAGAGTTTTTGTCGAGAGTCAAATGTATTGCTGGTAACATTTATTTAAAAAACGTATTGCTGACTAAATAATTTTTCCAAAGATGTATTTTTGGTAATTTAAAAAAAAAATGTATTGCTGGGTATTTTACTATAATCGTCTATTTTTATACTTCATAAAGTTTTGTCCCTAGTTTGGGGGGTTAACTATTTGTCCATAGCTGGGACCCTAACAAATGCTACCACCCTGGTACAGGGTGAACCTAGAAACAATAGCAATTAAGAGGTGATTCAACACTCCTCACCCCCCCCGATCAGAGGCCTTGCTGCCGGATGTAGTTTATCATCATACCCAGGACGTTCTATTCTGGCTTTCTGCTTTCCTGTCAACTACGACCTTCAGAAATTTAAACACAACATCGAAGGTCATCTATCTCCTTGAATGCTGGTCTTTTAATATCTTTTCTCTCTTCAACGTTTTCTCTGTTCTTTCGTACTCAGTAACCTCTTGCATCTTAGTGGCTTTATTACCTTGCTTGGGGTGAAATGATAAAGAAACATAAAATACACTGAAAAAGAAATCAGCAAACGGAGAACAAACTCAGGGTTAGTCAGTTGCATTCAGTTTTAACACTAATGTCCTTTGGAAAGGAAAGAATTTAGCTGCACTTCCCCCCGGTATGGATTAAATAGCAGTGCAGGCTGGACTATCTAGTCTTGAGTGGAAAGTGGTCATGAGAAAGGCGAAGTTGAAAATCTGTGCCTTCTTTCGCTTTCAGTATTTATTTTTATTTTATCTAAGATATGGAGCCTCGCTAATAGGCAAACCTTTCAAACATCAGTCAGTAGCTTTGTCATTCAGCCAAACCGATGACTGTTTCTTAAATTACACAAGGCACAACATTGGCAAGAAGGGAGTAAATTTCTTAAAATCCAATTTAAAACATTTGGCATATGTTTCGTGCTTAGGAAAAAGTCATTGGTGTGACGTCATCAGAGAAAACGGCAACAGGCCAAACGCGTCACGTCAATTGATAAAGATTGAAAATTGATAGATTGGAACATCTCTTGCTGACGCAAAGGATTAACAATAAAGTCTTTGGTTTTGGGAAATAATTCTAACGGATTTTACGGAAGCACAGGAGGAGGGGGTTGCAAAAATATGGGATCTATTCAAGTTCATTTCATTTCTTGCTTTCTTTCTTTCTTTCTTTCTTTCTCTATCTATCCATCTATCTATCTATCTCAGTCTGTTCATATCTAATCTATCTATCTATCTCAGTCTGTTCATATCTATCTATCTATCTATCTATCTATCTATCTATCTATCTATCTATCTTAGTCTATTAATATCTATCTATCACATTCTGGTCATATTTATCTATCTCCTCACTTTCTCTTTCTCTCTCTATATCTCAGTCTATTAATATCTATCTATCTATCTATCTATCTATCTATCTATCTATCTATCTCATTCTGTTCATATCACTTTATATTTGTGCACTTGGCTACCTGAATTATTTACGAATTCAAAGAATGATCTACGTAACTAAAATTATTTCTTAATGTACCCACCATATTTGCTGACATATCAAGCGCACTTTATGACACCCAGTGTAATGTCAGACATTTATTATGTTTAATAAAAGTAGTACATAACATTACAGATACGACCCTGTTAGAAATAGAGCAAAATCCAATTTTCACAGATGGTCTCCAATTGATTGATTGTATTTTTACGGATTTTCAACAATTTGCAGAAACCCAGAAAATATTTTTTAGATTGTAAAAATCTTTGGAGATAATAATGATTTTAGTGATACAAGTCTTACTATTTAGCCTATAGCTGGGGGTGGAAGAGGTGGATTCATGCCTTTCCCAAGGGTATTTGCGCATAAGTGACCAGACTGGAATTGGAACTCGATTTTCCGATTTACAATTCCGAGCCTTTACCCATTATACAACCCACATATCCAAATTTACAGCACCTTGTATTCCCAAGCGGTCACCCATTTAGGTACTAACCAGGTTCGATGTTGCCTAACTTCGGTGATCGTACAAGAACGGGTATTACAACGTGATATGTTCGTAAGTGTGTTCCCAAGTATGTAGATGTGACTATAAGTCACCTTGACTGCTTCAGCTTTTAAACTTAAAAAAAATGCCCCATTAACACATGACCATCACGCCCCCTACATCCACTCATTGTTAATATTTTTGCTAGTTTTCTAAAACGAATTATCATGACATGCGATGTTCGTCGTTACCAGCTTGTGTCAGCAGACACCTATCATTCACCAATTCGAAGCTACAAAATAGAGATCTCAGTGAAAGGAAATACAGGTTCTGGTAAAACACTACTTGACGACTAACATAGCAATAAGGAAAAAAAATATAAACATAGAAATATATCCGTCATTCGAAGTGGTTAGATAATACTGAATGGTGAAGGGGTGAATGGTTGATGGTTGATTTCTTGCGTTAGGTTCAGTTGTTCTGTTAGCTTCCTTTTTATATACAGTCATGTTTTTCTTTTGCTACAGCTAAAGTACATTTATAATATTTTTAATTTACAGAGTTACAGTTTCGATTCTCTCAATAAGAATCGATCCTGAAATTCATTTTTTAAACCGAGAAATCCCCTTAAATTCAAAAATCGAATATTGCTTTATTATTTAATTAATTTACGTTTCGTGTACAAAGTAGATATAAACATCAAAAAGATCTCAAGAGATGTGTTTCTCTTAGAGTAATTGTGTCTTGCCTTATTTTAATGGCTCCTCGTAACTTAATTTTTTTTTTTTTTTTTTTTTTTTTAAGCATTTCACCCCAAGCAAGGCGGGGAGCCACTAGGACGCAAGGGGTTACAGAAAATAGGAAGATCAGATAGGAGTGATAGAAGAAAGGATGAGGGTAGTAGATAGATTAAGGCAACTGGAGATGTCGATTGACATTACACTTGATTATAACTCTCAGGGAAACAGGATAAGGGAAGAGAGTTCCACAGGCGAGAGGTGCGAGACATGAAGCTATTAGAGTAGTAGAGACGGCTACATTTATGAGTTTCGACAGTGAAGGGGTGAGAGCGGGATGCCAGCCTCGTAGGGCGCTTGAACTCATGAAGTTTGGGAACCAGCGAATGCAGTTCCTCGGAGCAATTTCCATGAAAGTATATGTAGAACAGACAGAGGGAGGCGACGGTGCGTCTGTGAGAAAGTGACTGTAGACGAGACGCCAGGGTAGGGCCAACCATATTACATATCCGCCTCTGGAGCCTATCAAGAACCCTGAGGCAAACAGAAGGGGCGCCAGACCATATATGGCAGCAATACTCCATGCAAGGGCGAATTGTGGATTTGTATATCTGGAGGATCGACTCAGGGAGAAAAACTTCCTAGCACGGCTCAGGGAGCTAACTTTCCTCGCAGTGGACGAGGCAATTGACTCGATGTATTTATTCCATCTCAGGTCAGCAGTCAACGTGAGACCGAGAAGCCGCAGAGAGTTGCTCTCGGGAAGTTGAGCGTCAGACATTATAATGGAGGGAAGGGAAGGCTCTCTGTGGTGATTAATAGAGAACAGTTTAGTCTTCGAAGCGTTGAAGTTGACCAGCCAAATCTTGCCCCAGATCACAATCGATTGGAGGTCCTTTTCGAGGCGCACGGCAAGGTGAGTTTTGTCAGCGAGACTGGATTTGTTTTTTTTTGAGGCAGGAATAAATTGTGGTATCATCCGCGTAGATGCCGACTTGAGAAGTTACGGCGTCAGGAAGGTCATTTATATAGATAAGGAATAGAGTGGGGCCTAGGATGGAGCCTTGAGGAACTCCTGCGTTCGTGGGGTAGGAACTGGAGGAGAATCCGTTGTGAACGACCTTCAATTCACGGTTTGACAGGAATGATTGTATTACGTTATATAATTGACCCGTAATGCCATAACCCTGGATCTTGCGGAGAAGGCCGGCGTGCCAAACCCTATCAAATGCTTTGGAGATATCTAGTGCCACGGCTCGGGCTTCCCCGTTATTTTGTAAATTACATTTGATTTGAGGGTAATTAGATAATCCCTCTTTGAAAATTGATGACTGGCGCTACAGAATCACTAAGAACTGTATTAAATAACAGAAACCACATCACTTGAAGACTATCAACAACAGCAATAATTAAAATGGATAGCACATGTAACTAGAAGAGAGAATAATTCTATAATCAAGATGTTGACATTCTACACTACTTCAAACAAAAGGTTAGAAAGGAAACTGCCATCAATATTGAAAAGAACGATAATAGATAATGGATCATTTCCTTTAAAATTGTTTTAAGTGAAAGGTTTTATAAAATTCAATCGAATGCAGTAGTAGCTGCTCGGTCAATGAATGTTAAATATTTCCTTGGAGGGAAAGGGCTAATATTACCTTTGTCATTATTATTGCTTAGTTTTAAAAGAAATACAGGTTCGATTACTGTCGAAACATTCTTTAATAGAACTTTCGATTTCTAGACCGATATGTATCAATTTCCTTATTTAAAAAAAAGAAAGCTGACCGAAACATGTGCATCCATTCAATATAACGTTTATCAATAAGAAATCGTGTCAGATTAAAATATCTATTAAGTGTTCAAATATTACTTTGTTTATATTTTGAGTACGAAAACAAATTTAACAGATTCAGACTTCGTAAGATCTCAACGAGAGATTTCTTAAGTAAGAAAATTGAGCCTTCATTTTCTGTGATAACTTCTTGTAGCTTAAAGATGAAACGTGCTTGACTTGAAAGCGGTTTTCCCGAGTAGAATCGTATTAAGGTAGGATCTGTGTCAGGAGGCAGATCTTCTTTAATAAAACTTTCAATGTCTGGCACGGTAGAGAAAAAAAAAAAAAAAACACTGATATCTACTCAAGCAAATGTACTCACTATATATAACGTTTATAGTAAGAAGAAATAATGTCGGATTAAGAAAATCTATCAATTGCTGATATATATATATATATATATATATATATATATATATATATATATATATATATATATATATATATCAGGTTTTAGGAAGTATGGTAGGGTAATGGATAACGGCTCGGATTGGGAAATCAGAGGGTTGAGTTCATTATATCCACTTTCGTACTTATACCCAGAGGAAAGGTATGATTATCGCTTTCCCAGATATGAGCAAAATAACAGGGCAGATTGGGTCCTAGAACCTTGGGTACCAACCAGTCTAGAAGAAGGAAAACTCAAATTCAATCCACTCTGGAAAGGGTGGGGTTCCGTCGGGCTAGCTTAACACCACTTCTGGAACGGCTGCAGTACATATGGTGCCCCTATAACCCTAATGGGTTAAGGATATGCTTCCCGCTTGTTTTCATACTTTCCTAAATAGCATTTATATTTGTATCTGGTCTATATCTAATGGATGAGATGTATGTACATTTTTAGAGGGTAGTATCAAGGCCAAGATGACATATCATCATTTTGAATGCCGATTTGTGATGCAAACAGGTTTTTTTCTCAACTTAGAAGAATGACGCAACACACTCTTATTTCTCCATTTACATTAAAATCTGGCCATATGCCACTGGAAGCTAAGCTTTGTAAATATCAAGTAATGGTTTTATGTTCGCTTCGTGGCGTCTACGTGTTGATTACATCAGAGCAAACGATGTGTTGATAGGCAGATAACATTTCTTGGGCTGTTCGCAAATATTTCAGTGTCACTTTCAAAATCAATAACCTTGATGGGGATTTAAGAGAAGCGTACGCACGCCCGCGGACATTATGTGGGTAGGCACCTGCTTATCTTGTGAAATAAAGGCAAGCGTCCTGTTTGGTCAAAATTCAGTCCTGTGAAGAGACCCGGAATGACTTCTCCATTGTGCAGGCCCGTCTGATGGGATATGGAGACTATACGCTGACCAAACTAAGTGTCCCTCAACAAGACCGTACCGACAAGATCCAAAGGAATAGAAGTGTATTACATTTGGTGCAGGTTTGGTTGCAGGAGTTGCTGGAAAGTTGTCAATGCTGACAGCTAATCGCCTTTGGGGCTCCACTCCAGGTTTTATGACTGGATTTACTTCCATATTCTTTTCTGTGTTTGGAGATTACTGCAAGGCAACGGAGGTTTAAAATGAGGGTTTTCCTCCTCCTAGATAGACTGCCTCACTGGGCTGTCGAGTCCCATATACCAGAATCAGCTGATCATGAGGCGCCAGTTGTTCGCTTTTGCCCATTCTCCGGCTTGGAGCTGAACTTCAGAAGTTATTTGAGATGCATACCATGGAATCACTGGGGGCTTATCCCTACTATCACCCTCGACTACGACAACCTTTGGAACATATATAATGTACGTATATAAACATTATATACATTACGTGTTTTAGAAGCTCCCCAAAATCTAACTTTTTTTAATGTATAAAACGATATGTAAATTAAAAACGAGAAAAAAAGACAAATTACGAAATAATCAGACAAATAAACAAACACAAATATTGACATGTTTGTTAATTTTGAAAAAAAAAAGCAGAAAGTAAAAATGAAAAAGGTAGGATTTAAGCCTAAAATGCACGCCGATTATGAGGTCATTATACAATGAAATAATTTATAGTATCTTTTTGACAGTACTAACCCTTAAATTGTTAATTGATAAAAATAAAAGGGAGTAGAAAATACACAGTTGATAAATATAACTTTAGGTCAGCAAAAAAGAAAGTGAATATAAGACAAAACCAAAACAAAGAAACAAAAAAATAAATACTAAAACCCGGGAACTGTGGAAAGATATATTAATAAACAATACATATATAACAGCAAATAAACATAATAATCATTATATATATGTTAAATGAAATAAAATGAATAGTAATTGCATATTATATTAAATTATTATATTACTTTTAAACAATATTTGCGGTTTTTCGGTAAAAATTAAAATACGTTAATTTTTTGGAGTTTCGAAAAACGAGTTATCTTTCTTGGAGTTCAGAACGCGAACACAACCATTGCACACAAAATGATTGATCTTCGGATCTTGATATATCGATAGATGATTTTCAATGGACACTACAATCTTACTTATTTCGTACAATTTTCTGAGAAATTTTCCAATTTTTTTTATTTGGTCTTGTACCACACTTTACGCAAAATATTTTGCCATAGTGTTTTATGTCTTTTTTTTCTTTTTTTTTTATTGTAGCTTCATTCTTACTCTGCAACTTTTGTTTATCGTTTTATATTATTGAATTATTTGTTAAAATTGTTGATGAATAATAGAATTAAAATAAATGGAGAAATGAACGAATTTATCTGACAATCCAGCATCTATCTATCTATCTATCTATCTAGCGCATTTTGTCATTTATCTATCTCAGTCTGTATCTATCTATATTGTATGTTTGTCTGTTCATATCTATCTATCTATCTATCTATCTATCTATCTATCTATTCGGACATTGTTTATGTCTGTTTATATATCTGTCTGAATATCAAACTATTCATATCTCTTTGTCTGTCTGTCTGTCTGTCCGGCTTGGTGTTTCTAATTTTCCATCGTCATTAGTGGTGGTTTTCGATTAACTAATATTTTAAGCATTGATTTTCGATTAACTGATATTTTAAGCATTGATTTTTGATTGGTAAATTGTAGCCATTTTGTATTTTTAATTTCGCGCAAGCGCGTTGTTTTTTTCTTTTTTGTCAACTGCACAGTATAGTAGGGTCAGTTGGGCACCCTCTGTGCAAAAAAGAGCACCATTACGCAAGTTTGGAAACAGCATGCTGTACTGCTTGGCATTCACACCGGAAGCTACGAATATTTCAGAGTGTTTGGGTGAAAGTGCAGACAATTCGGAAATAGTTGGATGAGTCTAATGGTGATTACGAAGGTACGCCATCTCGGTAAACTCACTCTGATCGTTCTGGTAAGAAAAGAACTCTTGAATTTGTTGGTAACGGCTTCAGACTCAACACGAAGGCCGACATCAAATGACTTCAGGAAGTAATGCTGCCCTGGATCAAGAGGGTGGATGCTGGAATCATCCGAAACAACAAATTGATAACGCCACTAAGACGCAAGAGTGACAAAAAGAAAACATTAGAGAAAGGACAATAAAAGAACCTATTTCTATTTCAACATGTTTCGCCAATGAATCATCAATATCAGAAAAATAGTGTTATATCAACAAAATCTATATTACCAAGGCAAGACTTGATCCCCGTTAAGCAAATGAATATTCGTTTTTTTTTTTACTTTATGAATTATTAAAAAATAATAGATTATAATTTAATTTGAACTCTTTTTTTTATTTCATTTATTTTTTTATTCGAATTTGCCCCAAGTAAGACACTATAGCCGCTAAGACGCAAGTAGTTACTGGGTGTGAAAGAACAAAAGTGAGGACAATAGAAAACTAATCAGAAAGTAGATAACGACTGACATTGCATTTAAATTTTAAGAGATCAAAGTTGGCTGGAAAGCATGGGGCGGGAAGAGAGTTCAACAAGCGAGAAGTGCGAGAAAAATAAACTGTTAACATAGAACTTACAGTTACACCTATCCGATTCAACTGTAAATTGATGAGACTTAGTTGCTAATCTCGTACTGTGCTTAAATTCATTAACGTCTAGGTATCATAGCGAAGAGCTCATCGGAACAATTGCCATAAAGTATTTATTAAAAAAAAGGCAACAGGGAAGCAACTTCACGACGGTGGGGAAGTGACTCAAGCCAAGACGTCAAGTCAGGACCAATAATATTGCTGATTCTCCTTTGGATTTTATTAATAATCTCTAAGTATATAGCAGGAGTATCGTACCATATGTGGTAGCAATATTCTAAGCATTGACGAATGGTAGACTTATAAATATGTAAGATAGATTCTGGAGGGAAAAATTGTCACGTACGACACAGTGAACCAACTTTCTTAGCAGCTGATCTAACAATAGATTCAATATAGTCTTTCTACTTCATATCAGCCGAGAATATTAACCCGAGAATGCGCAACGAGTCTCTTTCCTGGAGGTTAGCCTCAGCCATGTTGATGGAATGCAGAAAGGAGTATCTTAGATGATTAATAGAGAACAGTTTAGTTTTGGAAACGTTAAAATTAACATGGCATTCTTTGCCCAAGTTAACAACAGACTGTAAGCAGTTTTTGACACCAGCCGCCAATTTGATTTTATTGAACTGATCAGTTTTACTATCGAGAGTGCAGTAAATAGTTGTGTCATCAGTACAGATACCAGTGGCATCGGGAAGGTCATTAATGCACCCCCACAAAAAGAAACAAAGTAAGAGCAAGCATAGAGCATTGAGGGACACCTGCATTAATACAAAATGATCTAGACGAGTGGACGTTCAGGATAACATTCATTTCACGGTTTGATAAGAAAGACTGAAATTTATTTTTATATTCATTTATTTATTAGCGGTTGTTATTAATTTCCTTGCGTAAGAAAATAAAATGAAGGATAGCTAAAACAAACGTGTGCACCCAGTAAATATAACGTTTATAGTGATATGAAATAACAGAGGTTTAAAAATCAAATAAAAATTATTCATTTTACGTTACGTTAAAAAAATGCAGGTAGCAGATATAGATTTATAGGGGTCCCAAAGAGATATGTTCATTTTCTAAAATAGGTAATTGAATTGTGCTATATCAGTATGATCTAACGTGGGAAAATTGGTAACAGAAAATTGCTACTATACAAACATTGTCTTTGTTGAAAAAATAGGATACGAGATCGGTTCCAGTTAGTAAGCACATTTTTCTTTAGTAGTACTACTCGATCTAAGCCAGTTGTTATTAATTTCACTGTTTAACAAATAAAAATGGGGATAGCTACTCAAACACATGTACTCACGGCAAATAGCGTTTAAATAATAAGAAATATGATGTGTTTATATATGCCCATCAGATTGCGTTCAAGCATGAAACAAACTGTTGCCTCTTTGTATTGACCTCAATGTCCACTTGTATATTTACATACGCTCTCTATAGATATAGGATACCTTATATATATATATATATATATATATATATATATATATATATATATATATATATATATATATATTGAAAAATACATCCTACCCACTACCAAAACGTAGCAATAACTGATACATTAAAATATAGACATATTAAACACCCAGATACCCCTCGTCTAGTAAAATCAATTCATCTGTAACCTTGGAAACATGAATTATGATTTTAGCTGTGTCTTTAAAACCCAGTAATTTTAAAAGTTACTCCAAAATTCGCTTGAGGAGGAAATGGAACTAATGTCTTTAATTTAAGTACAAAATTAAATTCGGAGCTTTTAGCTTCCATTTTTGAAACATGGTTAGAACTGTGTAGCGGAAAAAACATATTTTAAATCAATTAATTTATAATATTATATATATATATATATATATATATATATATATATATATATATATATATATATATGTATACTGTGTATTTAGACAGCAATCTCTCATTTATACATGTTTTATTAAAGACGACAGACAAGGTACTGCGATAAAGCTTTTTATTTAATTTTTCTTATGTTTGAACAAGTATTTTCTTTTCTGGACACAGAATGTGTAGAAACTACCCAAATGGCCTGTAATTCCGTGCGCTTTCGGCTATACGTTTAGCCATTATCAAGGATGATTTTATTTTTACTTTTTAACTGGATGTATGGGTTGTGTGTATGTATCTAGAGTTATAGGAGTGTTTTATTTTACGAACACAGTCAGCACACTGTGGACGTGTCCATAGTTAATATCATCGATGAGTGAACTAAATTCACAAAACTAAATAGAAACGCTACGGAAATCTTAAAAAGATCATTCAACAAACTCATAATATCTAATAACGCTGACGTCAGTTCCACTGAAAATCCAAAAACTCATCGGAGACTACCAACTTGGATACTTATACGGAAATATAAAAATACACAAACCCGGATACCTGCTATGACCAATCATTTCTCAGATCCCAACCCCTATGTACGAGCTATCAAAATCCCTTATGACATAATTACTCTATACCTACCACACACCAATTACATCATTACATCCACCCACGAATTCCTCCAAATTCTAAAAAGTACAAAACCAACCCGAGGTAACTTTTGCGTTATTCGACGTTGAAAATTTATTCACAAACGTCGTTCAAAACATTAACTCCGTGTAACACAAATACGAGGGTCATTCAATAAATAAGGTGAATTTTTCGGTATAAGGACTTCTAATACAGATAGAAGCTTACTTTTTTTTTTATTTTTCAACGTAGTCTCCCAACACTGTCACACACTTTTCCCATCTGTGCACAAGCTTCCGTATTCCCTCAGCCTAAAAATCTTTGGACTGATGTCTCAGCCAGTCGCTCACAACACTTTTGACTTCATCGTCACTTTTAAACTTCGTGCCTCTCGTGAACGCTTTCAAGGGATCAAACAGGTGAAAGTCTGAAGAGGCAAGGTCTGGGCTGTAAGGGGGATGAGGGAGCAGTTCCAAGCCCAGCTCGTTGATGGTCTGCACCGTTTGGGCTACTGTGTGAGGCCTTGCGTTGTCATGATGCAAGATGACTCTTTCTGACTGATGACCCCTGCGTTTGTTCTTTGTCTTTCTTGACCTGCCTCAGCAGTTCACAGTAGTTCTTCTATCAGACTGAATGAGTTCATTGACTGATTCGATCAACTCAGGAGACCTCACTTCTGTAGGCCTCCCAGGCCTGTCTTCATCCTCAACACTGCTCCGTCCTTCTTAAAACAATTTAGCCCACTTGTAGACATTTTTTTGGCTGACACATGTGGCACCATACACAGTTGACATTCTCCTATGAATTCCAACTGGTTTGCACCCTTTCAGCAACCAAAAACTTGATAACTGACCACTGTTCAATCCTGGAGCATGCATCTTGGTCGGCCATCTTTGTTAATCGCCAAAACTCTCAAAGTTTTTTTTTTAATCTGCAAAAGAAATTAAATCCATGTGAAAAAGAAGTAAAACAAAAAAAAAAAAAGAAAAGAAAATGTAAGTTTCTATTTGTATTAGAAGTCTTTATACCGAAAAATTCACCTTATTTATTGAATGACCCTCATAATTCTATCCCACCTCCATCCATAAACTCCCAAAAAACTTATTACATGCATGCACAACCAAAGTTCCCTACTATGATCATAATAGCACTGTCTACAACCAAACTAATGGTGTTAGTATGGGAAATTTGCTTGGCCTGTGCTTCTCCAATTACTACATGTCCCCTGTAGAAAACATGATATTTAAACAGGTCAGTAAAACCTAAAATATATGTCCGCTAATGTTATATAGGAATAAATTGTCGCTACCGACACTGGCGTTTGAAGATGTAATCAACACGTAGACGCCACGAAGCGAACATAAAACCATTACTTGATATTTACAAAGCTTAGCTTCCAGTGGCATATGGCCAGATTTTAATGTAAATGGAGAAATAAGAGTGTGTTGCGT